TTACCATCTTGTTTGTATTAGTTAATAGTATATTATTAAAGATTTGTTTCAATTATATTTTATAATATTGTAATTGATTAATTTTTAAGATACTGATTATTTTGCATTCTTATCAATTAGTTTTATCAAACATGATTTATTCATCAGTTAGCTTATCAACTAGTTTTATCAAACATGATTTATTCATCAGCTAGCTTAATTATAAACTAACAACTAACTTATCAGTCATCAGTTAACTTATAAACTGCTAGCTAGCTTATCAACTAATTTACCAAATATAGCCTTAATAAATTGTTTGCAACGTGTATATGGTAATCCATATCAAAGTTTAGTATGTAGTCCTATAAATACACACCCCCATGGTTCATTCATCTATGCTATAAATAATTTAGTTGACTTCGATATCGAGTTTAGAATGCAAAACTTATATCGTAATTATCAAGTGGATATGTAAAAATTTGCATCTATGCTATAAATAATTTAGTCAACTTCTATATCGAGTTTAGAATGCAAAGGTCATATTGTAATTATCAAGTGGATATTCAATAAAACATTTGAAATACTAGTATTTTTTTTTTTGTAAAAATACTGATGTTGTTAGATTCAAAAAGTATCCGTATTACAATTTTCTTCTGCTTAAAAGATATGGTCGTAGAAAATCCCTCGAAGAACTCTCTCAAGATTATCCGTCAAGAAGTTCATTTTTCGACCAAATTGTCATTGTTGAAAAACAATGTCGAAAATCCGTCATAAACCCATTTTTTCAATTAAAATTTCCACCTATAACACCCATTGGTGGACCTAGAGCTTGATTAAGAGTGTCAATTCACCTCATAAACTTTTAAAAGTGTTTGGTTTTTTTTTATTAATCTAGATATCAACCCGCTATGCAAGCCGACTAATTCCAGGACGACCACTTGCTTTGCAGATAGCTCCGAATCACAACATTTGAACCTTCGTAACCATAAGAGGATTTGTATTCCTCCTTAGATTTGAACCCGAGACATTCTGGTACTTTTGATTTTTGGAGCCAAGCTCAAACCAATCAAGTACCACCCTTGCGGTTAAAGTGTATGGTTTATATATATATATATATATATATATATATCCAACAAAAATAAGGTTTTTGCATAAAAAGTTTAACCCAGTTAATTTTCAA